ATGTATGGACGCCGGCTGGGGCCCCCTGTGCAATGCATGGATTTATTGGCTTGCGTGGATACATTTGTTTGGAACGCAGTATATGAAAGGAACGTGCGTTTGTTCTCTCTGGGGTGCCTGATCAACACGCTTGAGATAATGACGTTGTCCCTGTGAATGAGCGTGCATGAGAATCCTAGTAACCTTATGTGGCATTGCTCACTGAGCAACGCGGGATAAAGTCACTCCGGTGGTCATTGATTGTTACTACATGTGATTTGTTAGCTGACTCCTGTTCCCTTCCTGTCTGTCCCACTTCCTGGTTTGCTGGTTGTTGAAATCATCTGTTGGTTTTCCATCACTTCCTGTCTCGCTGTTTGAGACACCCCTTCCTGTCTGACATCACTTCCTGTCTCGCTGTTTGAGACACCCCTTCCTGTCTGACATCACTTCCTGTTGGGCAGGTATAAACAATAAACATACCTGCGCTCAGGGCTCTTAGCATGGGATTAACGAACAAGCAACATCTGTCTCCTGACTCTACATGACTCTATAGAAGGGGATACTTCCAGTCCTTGCATAAAAGAGTGTAGTACAACGGGGGAAATTCTTTGCGTTTGGCGCAGCTTAATGCGACATGGATTTGTGCGTTGAACCAAGTGAATTTCCATAACATACTTTAACAAGAGATAAACATGTTCATAAACACAGCAGTCAAATATCTATGGTGGCTATGGTGTGTCAGTTTGATAATGACTTTTGTTTGCCAGTAGAGTAGCATTTTGACTCGAGCTTATACATTTTGACTTCCATCTCCACCTTCCAATCCCCATCCCACTGAGGAAGCTCTTCTAGTCTGTACTAGGGCTTATGTCAATATACTTTTCTTTACATCAGACAGATTTTGCATTTCTACACAAGTCTCCAGAAATGCAAAAGCCCCTTGAAGCAGGTCAAATTCAGGTTAGAATGAGGTCAACTGAAGGTCAGACCAGTTAATGAATTCTGAATGATCCCAGAAGCATCTCAAACCAATGTTATCAACACAAGCCCAAAGCCCATCGACCTTAGTCAGAATTTTGATAGTCATAAACATATTCCTTTAAATTATTTGCTTTCTATATTTTGCTATATTTTGGTTTCTATATTTATTTTTTAATCATAAATGTTTTTTTCCATAAACAGAAAATTCAGCTGAAGTAGAAGAATCAACTAGCTTGGTAGATAAAGAACCAGATCCATCTCCTTTCCAGAAACCTTTGGCACAGCCGCCTCTTATTTTAGATTACAAATGTCTGCACAAAAATGTAAACTGGGATATATTGGAATCTGAAGTCTTCTGTCTGACTGGTGAGAACGCTTTATTTTCATTTAAACTGTTAAGGTGCCCATACACCTTACGACCATGGCAAGACCTTTGTTCTTTCCCGCGATTCTCGTACGAGAATCGTAGAGTGTATGGGCACCTTTAGTTCATGTACAAATATGGTTTCAGTTTTGGGTAGATGCCGATGAGTTGAACCTTTGCAGTGAAATCTCTGCAAGGGATTTACCTCGCTACCATCCACCCATAATTAATATATTAGTTTTGACTGGCTGAAACTGTAATACGGTATATGTAACATGCCATGTATAGATTGTATAGTGATCTTTCACTGAGCTCAAAAGGCAACATTTAGGATCAATAGCTCTTCCCATCCTAATAGTGTCTGCCATTGGGATTGCTGATTTTAAAGTGTACATTGAAATTAAATAAATTTACTAACCTACTATAACACATTTACACTCTTTGTGTACATTCATGTCATGCTGTTTTTCAGAGCACTGTTAAAGGAGAACTATGGGGTCAGTGTTTTTCCCCATAGTTCTCCTTGAGGTAACGGGAGGACACCAACTAGCGTCCTCCCGTTACCCTAAGCTCAGTATACCGCGAGCTACAGCTCGCGGTATACTGAGACGCCGCACCTGGAGCGGATCCCGACTTAGATGACGGGATCCGCCCAGCTGCGTGAGTGACAGCTGGCGCTGCCTCTCTAGAGGCCGAGCCAGCTGTACCCGCCCCCTCCCCCGTCCGTTCCGCCAGTCAGCGCTGGCAGATCGGAGCGGGGAGAGGGGAATCCAGCCCCTCCCCCTGTCACGGCAGAGAGCCGTGACAGGATCGAGAGGTGAGGGAACCCGGTATGTGTTCCCTCACCTTCCGATCTACTGAGCCGACCTGTGACAGTCTCATTGTCACAGGTCGGCTTAGAACTATGAGGTGAGTGGAAATCACTCATGTCATAGTTCTCCTTTAAGGTCTTTAACTAACAAGGTGCAGGTACTTGAAAGACAGGGGTGTACAAATTAATTTAGAATTCTGGAGCCATACTTACCTATCGGTAATTTTCCTTTCCTGATGCCAGTACATGGCAGCATACAATGGTCCTGTGTGCTGCCATGTACGGTGTCAGGAAATA